TTCACTGGAATCATTTGGATAATTTCAGCCCTGGAAGTGCCAATCTCTTAGCCAGGCCGGTGCCTCCTCGTGCCTCCACTCAATTTCATTTCTCTCTTGCAATTAGGTCAGGAACTGGAATACACTAGACGGTTTGCAAGAACCCTGGAAGTAAACCACGCACCAGCCAATCAGTGAAGGGCTGAACCAACCCAAGTTGCGATAGCAGACTGCATACGGTATCCGCCTTTGGACTTTCTTTGTCAAATACAAACTTCGCATTTTTTATTGCACCTTTAATTCGCACGTTTACCTCACAGAAATGACAATGATCGTTGACAGACTTGTTCACTCTTTGCTTTGTTTGCTGTTGTGCTGGCAATTACTTGGACACCACTGAGCGTACATACGTCACAACCAAATAGCAGCGATTGATTAAACAAAAAAAGTACCCATCTACTGTCGAGTGAACAAATCCTAATGCTGCGAGGTCGTGAATCAGGCTACCAATCTCTATGGAACAAAAGGTAAAAGGTAGCTGGTAACTTGAAAACTTCTGCTTCAGAGCATTTTGAGTTTGGGAGATTTTTATTATCTGCAGATTCTATTTTCATACAATTTTGTATGAACCCATTATACTAGACAAGAAATACATACACCATATGTCACAATATGCCCTTATTTTGTCCCATCTGTTCTTTTTCGCTTAAATGCAAGTGTGCAGTTTGAAATATGGCTCTCGTTCTTTGCTGCTGATTCAAAACATTTCATTGACAGACTTTTCAAGATAAAGGCGCCGTAGCAGTATTATAAGTGAGCTAAGGCAGGAACCCACAAAACACAAGAAATGCTCTGTGGAAGTAGAGAAGGTTCAGTGAATTGAAGTCAACCTGGAGAGGATACAGTACAGTCTAAAGTATAGGAGTCAGCAGACAGTGGGACGCTTCATTCTCACTTTCACTACAGCGTGTATCCTCTGTCTTCCCTGTCTTCTCTGTCTCCTCTGTCCAGACCCCAGACCGCTAACAACTACCTACCTTTGTAATCTTCAATTTTCTCATGCGCGTTTTATTCTTTTCAGGCTGAGGATTGAGGAAATGTGCCATGGGCTGAAGTTTTTCGTCTCACTGTGTCTTTAAACCTCCACACTCGAAGTCTGGATGTGTCATTGTGGCTTTCAGATGCAAAATAAGGAATCCGCAGTGAAGACTCGGAGGCCAAAACATTGTCATTTTCTGGCTTCTCTAGAAATGCTTCTGTCCCACATCAGGCGTAGCAGTCTGGCAGAAGATTAAACTGTAAAAGTAGGGCAGGGCGATTTGACAAAAACCTACTTTTTTTTTTAACTCATATTTTTTAATCAACAGTTTCTGATTCAATAGTATTTTATTTTTTCTTATTTAAAAAATCTGTTACCATTTCCTGAACTTGATTTTACTGACTGAGATTTAGATATAGGCCACTTGTTTCAAATGACCCGATTAGACCTGTCACGATAACACATTTTGAAGTACAATATACTGCTGAAGAAAATATAAGCAATAAACTAAAATAATACTAAAGCTAATTTATGCCGCTGACACAATCAGACTGAAGCGAGATTGTCACCCCAAAAAAATCACAACCTGAAATGAATAAATCCCAGAATGAAATACTTGAAACACACTTGAAACGGCTAAAATGCCAATTATACAATGTTCAATATTCAGTTGCACAGCCTATTGTAATTTGTTTCTCAAATGAAGACACTCCCAAAATGCATGTGAATATTTTTGAGTAGATCTTGTGTAGTAAAACGTGTGTGATTGAACATTTTGCTATTTCACCTTTGTCCAATCGTATCTACTTGTAGTAATATTTTTCCACCTTCAACCACCAGAACCTTATTCATACTTTGCAAATCACGCTGGGGGTGTTCTACATGCATCTATTGGCAGAATGTTCAACAGTTACCATAGAGACACAATGCATGCACATTAGCAAACACAGACAAAAAGTTATAAGAAAACACAAAAAGGACTTAAACAACACATTTTCAGGAACCTGTGATCAATATGAACATTCATGATCCTGTGTAGGTGTTTGATTTTCAACAAAAAAAGTGAGAGTTACTGAAAAAAAGTATTTGAGAGGGACTTGTTTAACAGTGCAAATTCGCTCACCAGTTCTTTATGTTATGTTTATGTTAAAAGATTTAGAAAAGCTCAGATTAAAGTCTAATTTGTGTAACAGAGCTTCTAACAGAGTAGTCCTTTCAGTTAGCGTCACACCCCCAGGTAATGTTCATGACATTAGCTGCAAAATATCAATAATAATAATAGAAAAAAAATAACACTGAAACTGACAATGCTTATGTTAAATTCTCTAAATGTATAGACAAGAAACAGCAAACCAACCAGCAAACAAAAGCATTACAAGGAAACATTTACAAATTTTGCTGAGTGCATCTTTCAGTTCATCCATCAAGACTCTGACAATGTTGCAACCTGATCTGTTCTGTCACAGGTGATTAAAAAGTGCACCTCCTCCACAAAAATAGAACGTGCATTGCCAGTAAGCCATCTCAAAAGTCCAGTTTCCCCTTTAGTTTACCTTTTGACCAGGTGTGTGCTGCATATACATAGAGCTCAGGCCTGCTGCAGTGTTGAAGGAGCCCATACAGGTGAGGCAGAGTGTGAGAGTGTGAACCCCAGTGCGCTGACAGTCAGAGGAGGCACAGGTTTGTCTGCACGTCCCTCCTCTGGGTGGATGTGCTCCCAGACACATGTGCGACATTCCTGGCTCTCATATCTGTTAGCAGCAGCACTCAGAACATGTCACTATCCTGAGCTTCTCCACGGATTTCCTCTTCCCTTCCGACAATTTGTGCGGCCAATGTCCCGTCATGCATGAAAGGAGTTCTATAGTCCTGATTTTAAAGGCATTTTTTTCAGAGCTTATAAGTTCATTTGAACGGCTATATGTAAAAGCAAGCAGAATATTTTCCATAATGGTACTGACAGATGAGCTGACTGTAGTCCCAGGTATTCTGTATTTGTCGAGGAGGTTAGATTTTGGTCATTTGGATGGTTAGCAAAAGAACACAGAAAGTTTAAAAAAAGCTGTTTTTCTTATGGAAAAAGTGCATTGTGTCATTAAATTAAGATATTTTTTTATTATGATGCATTTTAAAAAATAAAACTTGTATTTATATACTTAGTACAAAGGTTTTCATGTTACCTGAGACAACCAACATAGTACCAAATACTTTTATTGCAATTGCTGCCATTAAGTACTAGAGATGTAACGATATCCAAATCTCACTGTACCATATATTACGATATGCATCTCACAGTACGACATGTATTGCGATATTTTGAAGAGGATAATATATTGTAGATGGAACACTTTTTTGCTTTTAAAATACCATGGCAAGATTTTGGTGTGAATTATTTCTGTCATAATCCCAAGAATTCAAGTAAAAACATATCTCTTCATGTCGTCTGTACTGAAATGAATCATGGGATATGTAGTTCCCTATGTCTATAAGCTGTTGTTACTATAAAACAATGCATTTAAACAAAGGAACTTGGAATTCGATATTTTGTGACAGTCCATATTATTGTGAGAATATTTTGGTTATTGTTACATCCCTATTAAGTAAATTTTATTGTGCCCAAAGGGAAATTTGTCCCTTGCGTTTGACCCTTCCTTCAATGCTGCTTATCAAGAGCAGTGAGTGGGTCACTTGGTTGACTGGGTCAGGACTACCTTAGCTGGAGGATTTTACCTATTGTGCATGTTTTGGTTTGATGAGGGAAACCGGTGTGTCCAAAAGAAACCAACCTAGACAAAGAGAGAACATGCAAACTCCGCACAAACAGGCTTGTGCAACTTGGAAATGTATTAACAAAGCAGCAGCTATAATAATTAGCCTTTGCACTCTAGTTTCCTTTTGTTTTATTAGAGCAACACTGAAGTTCTTTGGACCAATCAGTTACCCCTGAACTTTAATCCCTCTTTCGGTCCATGTGTGGGCCCTTCACTTACAGCTCTATGTTCCCAAAAGTACTTATAGTTTTTGTGTTATCATGCAGCACTTTTGACCCGAGCTTGTTTGTGAAATGATCTCTCGTCCCGTAGTTTAATGTCACGAACAATCCAAATATTATTGTGTGTTGAAACTTTGCAGCAGGCCCATAGCAGGCGCCTTTCTGTTTACCAAGCCACCGACAGAGTGTTTGTTTAGAGCGGGTGATAGAGCACAGTTTGAGATAATGCATTTCTGTCCCTTTCTACAACCAGACCTTTCTCATTTGCAGATGTTTTGGTACAGCTCAGTTTGCTCTGCATGCGAAATGTTGGGTCAAACCTGAGGCATTGGACAAGGGGTTGGTACACTGTGAAAGCGTGTTTACGTTTTCTATTCATTTTAGTGGCTGGAAGGCAATTTATCTAATCTATATTCAAACAAAGAACTTAAACAGAGAGAGAAGTGGACTTAACCTCAGTCACACATAGGTCACTAGTAGCATGCTACCACTAACTATTTACAGCAGCAGGCATCATTTTGAACAATTGTATATCCCACAGCTACACAAAACTTGAAAAATACTGAATTTTCTTTCACGCAAATCAATTTTACTAACTTTGCAAACATCTTTTGAATGGTGAAACGTCCTCATCATGCTATTAAAGGGTTTCAAGCAAACAATTTCTTCCTGATTTGAAGGATTTCATGAGAATCTTTACCCATTCAAAAGATTATTTTTGATTTTAATTAACAGAGGACCATTGCCATTCCAAATCTCTCAAATCAGGAAGGAACCCTTATGCCTGAAAATCATGAATAAATATGAACCCATGAAGAGACACACTCGTCATCACCAGACAAAAGACTAATTTAATGGCAAGGACAGAACAATACAAAAATACATCTTCACTATAGTTGAAAAAACAAAACAAAACAGTTGATTGATTTGCTTTGTATCGCCATGTATTGTAGTTTTTGGTCTGATTCATGTTTGTTCTTATGTCTTCAGGGGCAGTACCGGCCTTCAGACCTCCTGTGCCCGGAGACCTTCACCTGGGTGTCCATAGAGAGATGTGTCCCTAAACTGGACCAGAGCCGCTACGCACGCTTTAACCAGGATCCTAATGCAGGTACAACCCACAAGTTTATATAAAACATGAATTACTTTGATTATGTAAGACAATTCCACTCTCAAAAATGGCTTACAGGTATACAACTATAATATTACAGTATGAGCAAGGTCTCCAAGACAATTTAAATCTGACTCCAACACTATGGCCAAGGGGATAACTTGCAGCACGTATGCATTGCTCAGATAATTTGCTCAATGTCGCTTCCTACTCTTCAACCTCACTTCAAGCTGACAACCTTACTGTACAGAAAGTATAATTAAATGAACAAACAAAAAGAAACACTTGAGCTTGATGACCTAGTGTTAATAAGTTACTGGTAGAAAAGACAAAATCCACTTTTGGTCAGGGGTCCATCACCTGCTTGCTTCTATCGATATGTCATTGCTATGCCTGGAAAGTTCCACAGTATGACATTAAACAGCTCTACCTTACATTTATTTCACAAAAAATAGTTGTATAGCTCAAAAATACATAGAAAAACAGGCTTTCTGGCTGGTCTGGTTTGGTCTCCATGAAGATAGAAAGGTTTAATATCACACTCTGAAACACTCCAGACAAAGCAATAACATCTGCATGCCTTTAACTGACCGTCTGCCAGAAAAGTTACACAGTGCACCTTTAAAGTCACAGTATGTAATTTCTTAGTCAATTAATAGTATAAAATAAAAGCTTGGATTTTGTTAGTTTTTATTGCACTTAAAAACTTACTGTCCTTGCATCTCCTCAAACCTGACTCTTATTTGGCCTCTTACAACTTGCTTCCATGAAAATATTGTTCCTTTGGCTATGATCTTCCCACAGACATAGAACTTATTGATCTTTATGAAGAATGTTCCAAAATATGGTTTTAACTTTCTACCACCTCCGTTTACATACTGTACCTTTAAGTATGATCCATTTTCCCTTTTATATGTGTTGTTTTATCGTGCACGTAATCATAATTATTTCACACATAATTATTTTGTGAACGTTCTTTTACAACCACTAAAAGTTCCAGCTAAGAGAATTCACAGCCTCACTGCTCCATAAGGCCGTTACATTAGAATGGTGATAATCAGAGTAATAAAGCAGTCACAGGAGGTAGACTGGCAGACGCCTCGCTGGGCCTGATTGGTTGACGTGGGGCCTTTAAATGTGTTTAGGGCACATAACTGAGCCTCTGTCTGTGTGGATCGGACTTGTTTTGGTAGTTGGCACAATCATTATTATAAATTACTGCATATTAAAATTTTATTGGTTCTCTAAGGGCCACCAAAGTTTGATCAAATCACCCAGTTCCCCATTGAGTTGAATCTTTTAAAAACACTGTCTAAAGCAGTAATCTCGACTATAGGACAAATGACACTACATCAATCAACAATATAGCCATTTGCGTTTATAGCAGTCTCATAAACTCTGGTACACTGACATAGTCTGACTCATTTCTCTACAGCCTTATCTTCAGCAATCCAGCGATACTGCAAATCATGTTTTTGCCTTTGTCCACACTCATACATGATATTAAAGTTGTTGTGTAAAAATGTTGTAACATCATCAAGGACATATCGAGAATTGTGTTTTGAATAACCCTATATTATTAGTGTGTCTTCATCTCCAAAGCTCAAAATGCTCTCTTCCACCTTGTGATGTAATGAAGCAGTATTTTTCACATTAACAGCTACCTTTTACCTTTTGAAGCCTATTATTATGTTTTCTGTGTTGGACTTCATAGATTATGATTGTAACTCATCTTATGAAAATGCAACCACTTTAATTCATTAAATTTTTGAAATTTGCACTTCATTTTATGTTATGATTTCTGCTCTGTTACAACCTTAGGGGCATTAATGCCCATTAAATCAAGTATTTTATTCAATACTGGCCTCACCACAACAATGTCTACCAAACCCATAGGCAGTGATACAGATGCAGTAAGGTATTGCAGTGATATGAGTGACCGAAACTGTCATTTAAACCACCAAAGTCCCAACACAATGAAAACAGTTCATATTTACACGTCACAGTGAGCGCACCCACCTTGGATTCTGACTCGGAATTCTTGCTCGGTCTACGTTTTTTCTCCACCGAGGTCCAAGTCACGCTGTCCCAGAAAAGGAGTGTGTTACACATGTCGCTAGGCAACTTCCTCAGAAAACCGATTCGGAAAGATAATCGAACGCAGGGTCTGTGCACACAGACATAGGTGTAGCAGATTAGAGCGAGGCAAACAATCAACAGACAGAAAGTAAAACTTTAAACTAGAAGCTGACAGGAAAAATGTCAAAATAAAACACCAAGGGCACACTACACTACTAAAGGAAAAAGCTACACCAAAATAAGCAAAGCAATGACTACAAAACATGAACCATGACAGTATGGAGTTTAAAAACACAGTGGAGCACTTCCTATATTACCACATGACATCACAAGGTGGAACAGAGTGTCTTCAGTTTGAGAGAAGAAGTCAGCCTAAATCTGTAAAACACAACTCCGAGTATGTTTTAATGACGAAACATTAAAGCATATATCAGAAAATAACGTAACATGGGCTCTTAACAAATTCAAATGACAAATAGCCAAAATAAACCTTAGTGATTAATAACATGGGTCATTTGCTAACCCCCTTTGTGTCATTAGACATAGCTCACCACTGTTCCTCTTTCTCCAACACTTAGAAAATAAATATAAGATCAAAACTGACCACCGCAAATTGGAAACAGTCCCAAATTAGTGCAGTGTTGGAGATGCTGTAGCACAATCATCTATAACCAATGTCAAACCTGCTCAAATCAATTTTCCTCTTTATTACTCATCCACTTCACAACAACTAAGATTTAAATGTAACCCTAGGCGTCCACCCTCTTACAGGTGCAAAATACAAATAGGGTTTAATAGATGCAAATATATTATCTGATCAATATTTAAATTTCCTTTGACAGTTTAATGGTATTACTTGGCATTGTAGCCTGCGATTGTACTTTTAAATGTCCTCTAACGTGTCTTGCTGAAAAGCCAATATATTCCGTGCAGGTTGCTGGATAAGAGCATAGTATTCATGAGCCCATAGAAAGTATATATTGAAAGTGCTTCTATCTTGAGAGGTTCTTAGCTGCTGTTTACTTTACCCCATTCATCTGCATCAGCAAACAGCAAAATGTCAGAGATGGACGCTAATACGAGACGCTCACTGACAGGTTAAAGATTACCACGTGTACAGTATGTGATCTATGCTTGTTTTAAGGCAGATTTAAGATTCAATAGAGGGGGGTATTTTGTGAAGATGGGTTTAAATGCATGGGAACTGAAAGGAAGGAGCTCTTGCGTCATGAATTAACGCGAGGAGACACAGACATGATGAAGGGGGAGATGCGTTTGGTGTAGTGAGGTCATTCTTGGACCTTGTGCTGTGCTATAAAGTTAATGCCATATGCAATATAAAACCAAGCCTGTTGTTTGGGACACTGAGTCCATCATGTCCTCCTACTGTGTGTATTGTGGACGTTCTTTGGGCTTTAAGATGCACTATGTAACTTTTCTTATGGATGGTCTGCTGCCTGCTTGTCTCTATGGTCATGTTTTTGCGTTTCCTAGAATGTCCCACGGTATGACATTTATGTATTTACGGCGATCATGATTAGTTCTGGTTTTGTTCTGGTTTAGTCCTGGTTTAGTCCTGGTTTAGACCGGGTTTAGACCGGGTTTAGACCGGGTTTAGACCTGGTTTAGACCTGGGTTAATCTTCCTGGTTCAGTCCTGGTTCAGTTCTGATTTAGTTCTGGTTCAGTCCTATTTTAGTCCTGGTTCAGTCCTGTTCAGTCCTGGTTCAGTCCTGGTTTAGTCCTGGTTCAGTTCTGGTTTAGTCCTGTTTCAGTCCTGTTTTACTCCTGTTTCAGTCCTGGTTTAGTCCTGGTTCAGTCCTGGTTTAGTCCTGTTTTAGTCCTGGTTTAGTCCTGGTTCAGTCTTCTTGTAGTCCTGCATAAGTACTGGTTCAGTCCTAGTTCAGTTCTGGTTCAGTCCTGTTTTAGTCCTGTTTTAGTCCTGTTTTAGTCCTGGTTTAGTCCTCCTGGTTCATTCCTGGTTCATTCCTGGTTCATTCCTGGTTCAGTCCTGGATTAGTCCTAGTTCAGTCCTTGTTCATTCTTGGTTTAGTCCTGGTTTAGTCCTCCTGGTTCATTCCTGGTTTAGTCCTGGTTCAGTCCTTGCTTAGTCCTGTTTTAGTCGTATACTGGTAAGTGGTTCCTGACTATAAAGTGCTTTGAGTACTTTAAAGGTAGAAAAGTGCTATATAAAAATATGCTGGTTAAAGATTATCTATAAGCATTTTGAATTTAGATTTCATAACTTTACGTTACCTCTGTCACGTTTGTACCACTGCAGGAAAAAAAAAAAAGAAAAAAGAAAAATCCAAGCTAAAATCCCCCATAGAAACCGCCCATTGGTCAGTGAAGCTTCAGTCTTCACTTCACTTACTTCCAATGATCCCTGTACAAATAAAACCATGTGTAAAAGTGCTAATTTACTACATGATGATTCCTAGCCTAACCAGAGATCTGCCTGACCTCTCCCCGTCCATCACCACTGGACTACAGAACTAATTATAAAGCCCAGTCTGAGGCCTTAACCCTGGCATCTCCCACGGCGACCACAGCGTCTTAATGTGGCTCTGTTCCTGCGCTTACTGTTGCTCTTGGACGGGCACGGATATTATTTAAAGGCCCCAAAATGCATTACGGCTGTCTTCGGAACCAGACCTCAAACATGCAGCCAGGCTTTTGGGGGTTATAGGTTTGTTTAAAATGGCGTCTACAGCTCAGGGTTTGGTTTGTAAAGATTTCGCCAGCGGTCAGTCCGTCATTGGGTGCCCCGGTCAGCTTGTACCAATGTCAGAGTAAGTTTAGCGGAAAGGCGAAGTTTGAGGTTTCTGGTCCAGGGCTAATTGGGAGTTTGAAACGATGTGGCTTGTCATTGGCCCAAATGCAAGAAATGGAAACCTCTTGTTGGTTGTAATAGTGTCGCAA